CATATTGTACGTGCATTTTGTGTCAAGTCAGGTTTTTGCAGGAAATAATGAAAGAAGTACACTGTAAGTACCCTGTACTTTCTGGAATGCAAACCATATTATGGAGTCACCAGCGAAACAATGAAACAATTACAATGTAGCACCCACAACTAAGGCACAAGTAGCCTTTAATTACATGTAATATTTTGTACCAAGTCAGGTTTTTGCAGGAAATAATAAAATAATTACATTGTTAGACTACAAGTACCCTGTAATTAAGTGCAATTTTTTGTGCAACATTTTTTAGTTACACCATAACACAACCCGTGCCCCAGAAAGCACAGGATATTTCCAGTGTACTTGTTTTATTGTTTCTTGCAAAAACCTAAATTGTTGCCTGCAAATTGCACATAAGTGCAGGGTACTTATTCGCTGGTCGTGTTAAAACGTTTTAGCAACCCTTTTGTACTTTGTTTTAATTTGCTGTTAAGCCTCTTTTACACTGATGGAATAGTAGAACACACACCAAGAATACCCATTCACACAATCAAATTTGTTTCACTTAAATCTGCAACAAACTAAAGTTATTTCCATGTCTCTTATTAGGCTTTGAGACCATGACATTTAACGTTGAATTCGATCCAGTTTGGAGTTTAACCTCTAATGTGCAGCCATCTCCTTAGAAATAAACAGCAGCACAGAGACTGCACAAAGTGATTAAATTATTAACTGGAGTTAAGGGCTCTTTACAATAAATTTCAAGATTAATGATTTTCTGTACCTTTAATCTCCCGCCTCATTTAACTGTTTATTCTTGCAGTTTTATGTTCTTTAGAGATTAATTTTAAGAATTTTATCATCATCTGATAGCATCTCTGACTGGATTAGGTGGCAATCAAAGGGACCATTTCATACAGAAGCAGAGTCACATGTCCCATAAAACACCTCTTTTTGTGTGAGCGCACACAGAGCCTGAAATTGAGAGCTTTACATAGAAAGATGATAAAGACAGTAATCACAAGTCACTGAATGTACATGCCCTTGGGTTCTCAGGGCCATGCTCAGGTTCACACTTCAAAACAAGATTTCACTAATCAGTGGTTGATGTCACAGCGCCAACTTCTATATTTTATGTACAAACTATTGTTTTTCTGCTTTATAGGAGAATTCAAAAGACAGATTAACAGCATATCATAAAGTGGCCCCTAGAGACAAAGCACGTACAAAATCCAAAACACGTACAAAATCCAAAACGCGTACAAAATCCAAAACACATGCAAACTGCAA